TATGTGGAGGGGGTTGAGGGGGTGTATGAGAGAGGGGTAAGTGCGTAGAAAATTAGCGCGGATTTTGTTTTGGATTTTTTAGGGCTTTGGGGGGTGGGAGGTGAGAGAATTTTTGAGGATTTGATGAGACCTGAGAATTTAATTTTGTATAGGGACTTTTAGAGGGTGAATGAGGCAAAGTGGGACAGTAGGGAATTTTCTTGTTCAAGGGTCAAATGCGAGAGAATCGGAGGGTCAGGAGAGTAAAACGGGAGAGACTAGCCAAACGATCACTCCACTCGTCTCTCCCAATTAGACCCTCCCCCTGTCTCTCCCGTTTTACCGCCAAGACAGTTTAACTTTTCACTTTTTTGAGAAATAAAGATGGGAAAAAAAATCTCAATTTCGTTCCACTACAAATGAACTCCGTTACATACGAAATTATCTCAAAAACGAGTAGTTTTAGAGAAAAATCTAAAAAGATCTTTTTTGTAGAGGATTAAATTCCCCACAAAAAAGTTCCTCAACATTTTTCTGAAAAATCACTCGTTATAAAAATACAAGTAAAAAAACTATAGAAAAAAAATTCTTTCAATTTCAAACGAGAAATTTACCTTCGGTAGCTCTGCAACTTAAAACTATCTGTAGTCATTCACTATTCGAAATGTTGGCGGGAAATTTATGTGAGGCTTTCTCTCACTCATCCTCACAATTTAATTCATTGCAATTACAACCGAAAAATATCCCCAACTCCATGAAAAAAAATTGAAAAATCCTACTCACTTAATTTTTTCTTTTTTATTTATTTCAATATGTATACTTTTTTCTCCGTTTTTCTCCTCTCTCTCTCCTCCCCCTTTTCATTATAAATTGCAAATGTAGTTCTATCAATAAAAACAAACATTTAATCAAACTTAAAAAAGACAAATGAAGCTTTCTTTTCATCGCTGGTTTCGTTTGAATCTTTAGCCTTTTTTTTCTCGTCTGAAATTCACTTGTGTCACATACTAGAAAAATCTTTTAGTATTTCAATTTTACAATTTAAAAAAAACGGAAAAAGAACAAAGAAAATAAATTTTGACATAAAGTATGTATAATATATATAATAATATATATATATGTAAAACACTAATATATGGTTATTTTTATTTTTTTGTTTCTTTTGTTTGTTTTTTTACTTCTTGTTACAAGCCTTACAGTTAGAATTAGAATATAATATGTATAATTTTTATATATACTCTTGTAATAAAATCGATTACTTGCTTACTCCTTAAGTTGTTTGTTTTATCCTCAAAAGGTTTTTTTATTAATTTTTTCCTTCATTTTTAGTCTATTGTTTTGCTTAGTTTTCATCCCTTCAATTATTATTTTTTCTCATTTTAATTTTCATCATCTAGATATATTAAATATAACTAATTTAGTTCACATTTCAACTGGATGTTGTTGTTAAATTTCCAGGGGCTGATAAACACCTGAGAATAATCCACAATTCTCATGTTATCCTTCAAAATTTTTCGACAATTTTCACATTTCGAGTGATTGATAACAATTTATAATTTACGAATATTTGGTAATTCAAAAGAATTTGATAACTGTAAAAATACTATTTCAAAAATTCGTAACGTACAAATTGGCCGTAACTTGTACATAATTTTCTTCAAATATCTCGAGATCCGCCAGAAATACATAAATTTTTATTCCCACCCTTTTTATAGCTAATTTCAAGAGCTACAAAAAACATCACCACCAAAATTCTCGTATCTCCCCCCAGATCCCCCGATATTTCCAAAAAACTTCTGAACAATATTACCTTCCCCCCAATACCATTCTCAAAGCCCAATGAAAAATTGCCTGAACCCTCGAGATTTGACAGATTCCCTCTTCTCCCAAATTTCAAAAATATGTGCAAGAATCCTGAAATCTCCATCAAACCCCTCCCCCCCCCCCCNCGCCAGAAATACATAAATTTTTATTCCCACCCTTTTTATAGCTAATTTCAAGAGCTACAAAAAACATCACCACCAAAATTCTCGTATCTCCCCCCAGATCCCCCGATATTTCCAAAAAACTTCTGAACAATATTACCTTCCCCCCAATACCATTCTCAAAGCCCAATGAAAAATTGCCTGAACCCTCGAGATTTGACAGATTCCCTCTTCTCCCAAATTTCAAAAATATGTGCAAGAATCCTGAAACCTCCATCAAACCCCCCCCCCCCCCCCCAACCAGTCGCAAATGCATCACCAATTGTAAAATTGTTAGTACAAGAGAAGTGGGTGCATGTATGCAGCATGAGGCTGTGTATTTCGTGCTATTTCATCCTCACAATGTCCAGAATGTCCCCCACCATCGTTTCACATGGTAACATTCAACTGTATCGCTTTTGTGTCCTCATTGCACGCTTGCTGCTGCTGCTGCTGCTGATGCTGTTGTTGTTGTTGCTGCTGCTGATGCTGTTGCACCTGCTGCTGCACCTGTTCTTGCACTTGTTGTTCAATAGTCTGCATTTGAATGGTTTTAGTGTCAACAGTACACGTCTGTTGATTCTGCTGCACCTGGACTTGTACCTGCTGCTGCACCTGCTGCTGCTGCTGCTGTTGTTGTTGTTGGACTTGCTGTTGCTGCTGTTGTACCTGCTGCTGCACAGGCTGCACCTGCTGTACCTGTTGCTGCTGTCCCGACACCTGCACTTGCCCCTGTGCTTGGCTACTCTGCTGTGCAGCTTGTGCAGCAGCCTGCGCAGCCTGTCGCTGCTGTTGCCTGAGTATACTTGGTGGTGGATCCATGTGCTGGCGTTGGTGAAGCAGCAGGTGATTCTTCTGGAAGAATGCCTTGCCACATTTATCACAGATGTGGGATCTTATGTGACAACTGCCGTCACTGTGACGTCTTTGATGCTGGGATAAACCGTGTTTCTGGGCAAAACCACGACCACAATCTGGGCAGAGGTGGGGCTTGGGCTTTGGACCACTGCCTACTGGTGGTGAGGTCTGCGTTCCACTCTGCATGTGGGATACACCTGGTGCACCGATTGGTCCGTTCATCTGGAAGTTTAGGGGTTTGGGATGGTTATTGGTCAAGTTGATTTAATTATTGCAGAGGAATTGGGCTTTTTAATTTTGAATCGAGGCTTTATTTTTAGAGCTTGTCACGAGCTTTTCGTTAATTGTTCGATAAGGAATCGATATAATGAGTAATGAATCCATTAATTAAAATTAATTAATCCCAGGATGACTAGAATAATATTCTGAATTCGTTAAACGATGTAATGATAAATTGTATCTTTCAAAACTCTCAACTTGGAAATTTCAGGCTTAAATGAAGATTTGAAAATCTTATTTCAAAACCTTTGAAATTATTCACTTGAAACTTCTAAAGTCTTCACTTTAAGACCTGTGAAAGTCTCAAAATTGAGATCTCAGTCTCAAATAGTCTTTGAAAATTCTCAACCCAAGTTCTTCAGGCCTCAAACTAAGACTTTCTCAAACCTATAGAAATCGTATATAAATAATTTGAAAGCTAATAATTAAAATAATTAGAAACCTTCTACACCTGTTATAATACCAATTCGAAAAATCAAAATTACCTGATGCGCTCCCGTGGCATTGGGGGTAAGAAAGTGTCCAGGTGTCTGTTGAAAGGCAGCAGCAAGTCCGCAGAGATCAGTAACAAGTGTCCTGTCCCCAGCGTGTAACCTCAAATGCAAAGTAAGTGCTTCCCGATTAGAAAAGCCCAATCCACACTCCCTGTTGGACGATCAACTATTAACCAAAATTTCCGTCGCTCTCGACGGAAATGCCCCCACCCCCCCAGGCCCAATGCTTACCTGCATGTGAGTGACTTGTCATCGGTGTTGGTGGCATTGTGCATCTTGGAGTGTGCAACGAGATCAGCCTTCCTGGGGAAGGCCTCCCCGCAGACAGTGCAGGCGAACGGTGTCTCCCCAGTGTGGAGTCGCATGTGTGCCAGGAGCGTTCTCTTCTGGAGGAATTCTTTGCCACACACTGTGCATGAATGGGGCACCCTTCCATGCAGCCTACCATGATTAACGAGCTCAAACTTTCGTTGAAAGGTAGCACCACAGTCTGGGCAGACAAATGGATGCAAACTCCCGTGGAATCTCGAGTGCATGGTGAGATGATCCTTCTGGGAGAAGGACTCCCCACACTCGGCGCAGACAAATGGCCTCTCCCCAGAGTGAAATTTACTGTGTGTTACCAGATGTCTCTTCAATGGAAAAGCCCTTCCGCACTCCTGACACACAAAGGGCCGCTCTCTGGTGTGAACCCTCGTGTGTGTCACCAGGTGATGCTTCAGTGTGAATGACTTTTTGCACTCTCGACACTGATAAGGTCGCTCAGCGCTGTGAAGAAGGAGATGGGTGTGGAGACAGTGTTTGTGGGCAAAGCTTTTGCCACAGTGCACGCAGATATGTGGCCGCTCACCAGTGTGAACTCTGGCATGAGTGGTGAGATGGTGTTTGAGGAGAAAGGACTTTCCGCATTCTGAGCACGAGTAGGGCCTCTCCTTGGGCACCCTCGCCTGGCTCCCCATGTCCTGCTGCTTCACCTTGGTGTCAATCTGGGTGGTGTTGATGTGGGTCAATACGTGACCAAAGTGTCCACTCTCTGTCTGATTCTGATTGACATTGTTGGTGTTGGCTTGGTTCGATGCAGCAGCAGCTCGTTTCATGAGAATTTCATTGCACTCCTCAGCTGTTAGCTGAATTGGACCAATCGGTGTCATAAAGTGTTTGCTCATTGTGTGTTTGTCGGTTGTGGTGAAGACAAGGGTGTTGGGAAATATTGTTGGCGCTGGGGTTGTGTGTGATGCGTCGCAGTTGCAGCCGCCCTTGTCGCAGGTGAGTGAGAAGACATCGTGATGTTTTTTTGTACGAACGTGGGTGACGTGGGTCGGGTGGGTGTTGTGGGTCTGATTGTGGGCTCCAGTGCTTGTACCACCACCAGCACCAGCCTGCTGCTGGTGGTGCTGTTGTTGCTGCTGCTGCTGCTGTTGTTGTTGTTGCTGCTGTTGTTGCTGCTGCTGCTGCTGCTGGGTGGTCTGACAGTTATCAGTCATCTGAAAGACCTGTCTTCTGTGCCCAGGCTGAGTGGCATTGCCCACTTTGGGCTTGACATCGGCCTGGATCTTCTGACTCGTACCCTGATCCTGATTGTTGTTGACAGCATAATTTATGTTTCCCGTCAAGTCAGACTGGTTGGTGTCTCTGCCTTCATTTGTCGGATTGAATGACCACGCATACCCAAAACCAGTGCCAGCATTGCCAGGTGTTGTGCACATATTGGCCAGGGTTGCGTGATCCTGATCACTCTCGTTAGCCACTGTTAATGTATCTGTATCAAGTATAACCGATTGTTTATTTGTATCATTTGTCGTTATGTCTTCATCCACACCGACAGAGTCAACGACGACTAATTGATCGGTGGGATATATCTTGATGGGCTCTAGGTGGTATATGTAACCGTTGCACTCCAGTATTTCAATGTTGTTGTCGATATTTTGAATAATTTCAATCTCTTCTTTCACTACGGGGGGAGGTGATATTGTTCTCGCATATCGGCGCCCCTTGTCGGGACGCTTTATATGCGATTTATCTTGGGCACTGTTTATTTTGTTAATTATTGTTGATTTTGAGGGAATTTTCGGGGGAATTTTGGTGTTGGTGGGGGGAAAAGCCGGACTAGGCCCAGCTTTTGGGGGAGGGATGATCAGGAGTGGGATTTTTGCATTTGTTGGGGGAAGGGAGGGTGGAAATTGTCAGGGCTAGGAGGGAGTTTCTAACATTTGAGACGGGAGGGGAATTTTTTGGTTTTTTGGGGTTTGGGGACTTTTCGGGGGAGAGGGGGGGAGATATGTATTTTTTAATCGGAAATGTCACTTGAGGCACAGGTTTTTTCTTGGGATGTCAACAATTTCACGTTATTGTTGACTATTTCATGGAATTCTCGCTCAAGATCTTTCTTTATTGATAGAAAGTCGTTTTCCTCCAGGGGATGCTTTAATGTGGTGTCTGATAAATCGTCGATAGACCCTCGGAAATCTCGCTCTTCAGGTTTTAATGGAGGACCTTGATGTTGAGGTTTACAAACAAAACAGCCTTTGCCCACAGGATTTATTCCTCTTCCTGGTTATTGTTGATTTCGAGGGAATTCCTAGCATTTGAGACAAGAGTGGAGGTTTTAAGTTGATTTTTGTGGTGAAATATACTCTTTTCACTGAAAATATCACTTGATGTTCAACTTCTTCCTCGTGATGTCAACAATTGCACGATTATTGTTGCCTATCTCATGGACATTCCAACTCAAGATCTTTCTTTATTGATAGAAAGTCGTTTTCCTCCAGGGGATGCTTTAATGTGGTGTCTGATAAATCGTCGATAGACCCTCGAAAATATCGATCTTCAGCTTTTAATGGAGAATCTTGATGTTGAGGTTTACAAACAAAACAGCCTTTGCCCACAGGATTTATTCCTCTTCCTGGTTATTGTTGATTTCGAGCCAATTTCTAACATTTGAGACAAGAATGGAGATTTTAAATTGATTTTTGTGGTGAAATATACTCTTTTTACTGAAAATATCACTTGATGCTCAACTTTTTCCTCGTGATGTCAACAATTGCACGATTATTGTTGCCTATCTCATGGACATTCCCACTCGAGATCTTTCTTTATTGATAGAAAGTCGTTTTCCTCCAGGGGATGCTTCAATGTGGTGCTTGATAAATCGTCGATAGACCCTCGAAAATGTCGATCTTCAGGTTTTAATGGAGAACCTTGGTGTTGAGGTTTACAAACAAAACAGCCTTTGTCCCCAGGATTTACTCCTCTCCCTGGTGATGTCCAATATTCTGGCGGCAATTTGCTATGGCAGGAGGACCAGCATTTGGGTTTGCCGTTAATATTGGCGAATAACCGATGGTAATAACTGATAATACCACCGAAAATATCAACACTGTCACTGGATTGTCGTGGTAATTGCAATTGTTCTCGTGTTTATCACAATGTCCCCTTGTTTTTCCCTGATTTTTTGGTTTTTGCCACAGGGGGGAAGTGGGGTGGCAGGATCTAGGGGTGGGGGAGGAGAGAGAGGACACACCGCGGCGTCTAACGACACACGGTCAACCCACGGTGGAGAAAAAGACAACCTTATCCACCTACTTGGTAACGCGACACTCCCGCACAAATGCACGATATTGCTGGTGATTTATTGTTATTTGTTATTGTCATAATATGGGGGATGAGGGTGGACGACGTTTCGAGGGACGTGAGAGGCGAAATTTCCGGATTATTTAGTATTTCAGTACGGTCACATACAAAATAAGCCTCATATATCGGCCATTTTATTTGTAAACTACCAAAAAACAATGCTGCCAATGGTACGGAAGATTTTTGGAGGGAGTCGCTGAGGAAGTGGGAGACTGGGGATTTTTTCGGGGGAGATAATGTCCCTAGGAAAAAGAAGGGGCAAAATTAAAGGTGAAATTTTTTTTTTTTTATTCCGAGGTTTTTCAGATTTTTCTTATTTTTTTAGATTTTATGAATAAAAAAGATTTGATGATTTGGAATTTTTATCAAGTTTTGAGGAATTTCGGAAGTTTTTGAGGGACAATCGAGGCTCTTTTTTTTTGGAGAATTTTTTATTTTCTATAATATGTAAAAAATATTTGGTTTTTTCCTCCGAAAAGGGGAATTTCTCTCGAGATTTTTTGAGGAATCGATCGGGATATTATCCACTTCAGAACTCTTCATTATCGATTGTAGGGAATTTTTGCAAAACTGATACAGGTGGCAGCAGGACGTTACTCACTACGTTTGCTGAGGGCATTGGATAAAAAGTGGTCAAATGCATGCTATCCTTGTCTGATCCATTGAAAAGTTGGGCGGTCACCTGGCGGCGCTATTGGTTCGTGAATCGGCCGAAAAACTATCTAAACTGGAGATTTTTGCGGGGGAGAAAATATCCCTAGGAAAAAAGGGCTAAAATTAAAGTTGCAAATGATTTTTTTCAATTTCGGGAGTTTTTCCAGATTTTTCATTTTTTTCTGTTTTATGGAAAAAATTGAGGTCCTTAGCGATATTTTTAGTGATTTTGCTTTTATTGAGGTGTTTGAGACACCTGATGAGGTGAATACAAAATATTGTCGTTTTAGATTTTTCTTTCGTTAGAATTTTCGATTTTTTATTTCTAATATGTAAAACATCAGGATTTTTTTCCTCGTGAAATACTGAGAACAGAAAAGTGGAATTTCTCGGGATTTTTTAAATTTATTTTTTAAATATTTTTTTAAATGGATTGATCATTATATTATCTATTTCAGGAATCTGCATTATGGATGGTGTGATGAATTAATGACAGACTAGCGATTTTTTCGGGAGAAAAAATGTTCCTAGAAATAAGGAGTGGGAAAATTAAAGTTGGGAATTCATAAATCGGAGAATGATGACATTTTTTTTTTAACTTACGGAAAATATTTAAATCTTCGATGTATTTTTTCTGGTATTAATAAAAATTAAGATTGTGGAATATATTTTTTCATGATTTGGAGATGATTTTGATAAATTTAAGATATTTTTCCAATCAATTCCAAGATTTGGAGAATCTTTTTGAGAAGAATTCGCGCTTTTCATTCGTTTTTTTTTGCTAGAAATTTTTATTTTTGATAAAATATAAGACATAAGGGTTTTTTTCCTAATAAAATATCGAAAACGAGAAAGGGAATTTTTCATGATTCATTTATGGATTGGCCGGTAAATTATCTACTACAGAATTCGTTATTATCGATGATGCGCAAACACACTCTTGCTAATTGTATAATTGCATAATTGCAATTAATTTTTTCATCTATTATAAAATCTGTTCGATTTGCTTATTTTTTATAAGGGAAATATTTTCTTTGAGCTACTGTTCGATGATCCATTACCTCTTTGCTAACAATATGCAATTAAATGTAGTGTTACCTAATCAATCAAAATTGAAAAAAAAGTAAAAATACTGAAATGCGAAGATTTTGCGCCATAAATTCTTCACCAAAACAGGCGAAAAAATCTGACGGATAGCCGGAAAAATTTGTGCTTTTTCTAGGAACTGGATGAGACAGTTGACGACTTGAAGATGACCTGAAGAGGATAAATAATTCTCAGAAATGTTCAAAATTACGAGGTGGTTGACAACTGATGGCGGCATCTTGTTTTGATACTCTTCAAAGATGACGGCGCCCCATCTCGTATTTTTAAACATTCTTCAATATTATTCATCCTCTTCAGATGATCCTCACCTCTCTTCATTCTTCTTCTGTAAAATGAACAAACTTTTTAAGCCATCTTTCAGATTTTTCAATCACCTTTTGACTAAAAATTCATGGCGCAAAGGTTTTTCCGCATTTCCGTAGTTTTTTCTCCCCCCCGAGGCCCCTCAATTTTTTTGACAAGTGCGAGGGCTGTCATCACACAAAAAAGATTTAAAAAAATTATTCTAATAATTTATAAATGATTAAATCATAAAAAAATGTTAATGAAAAAATTTCCAGCTAAATTTAAAAAATTCCAAAAAAACGGAGTTCTCGGAAATCAATAGACTTGAAATCAACAATCGACAATAGTCAGGATGAATTTCCAGTTCGTAGAATAATTGATACATTACAAATCGTCCCACCAGGGACCTGAAGGACAACCGATACGCGGGAGGGGAGCAACACTACAGTTGAATTTTGTGATACCCCATGACGGTATCGCCTTTACGCTTGGCTACTTCCATTCCCCCGTCTCTCGTCGTGCCATCTCCCCCCGAAAAATGACAAAAACAATTCGCGTGGCCCCTCGTCGCCGCTCCCGGCGCTGACCCAGAGGAGAAAAACCTCCGGGGGAGGGAGAAAAAATTGTGCTAATTGCGCTTTTGCTATGGTCAGGTGTGAAATTCGTCTAGTCAGAAAGTCGATAATTTCTTCGGTTGCGGGAGGAAAAAAACGGGATTCCGAAAAAAATAGTAAAGCATGAATGGACTTTTGTTCCGAGAGAGAATGTTCGGGCGGCAATCTCAGTATTGGCTTGACGCCAGGAGTAAATTTAGAAAATTCAACAATAGCCTATCAATTTGCGAAACACTCCGTTTTTCGAAATTGCCAAAATTTTGAAATTTTCATTTCTGATTTCTTTGAATTGTTAAAATTTTCATTGAAACATAAAAATTCTACTTTTTAGTCTATCAATTCCAAACCTCTTCGTTTCTCAAAATGTCCAATTTTTCTCCGATTTTATTGAAATATCAATGCACCCTTGGGCTCACACATCAATTAAAAATTTCATTTCCCAGAACGACACATATTTCATATCAAAAAAATCATTATTAACTCCGGGACAACACCCCTCACAGCGTCAACCCATCCCGAAGAAATTTCCTCAATCCATAAAAACGAAAGCCAACGGGTGGCACAAATGATAAACTGTAAAGTCCATCATTCAGGCGAACATACACATCCGAATGATCTCTACCTGTGGGAGAAAAAACGAATCCTCGACGCAGGAACATCCACCGCTAAACCCCGGCGTCCCAAAAAAAACTGACACCTCACTCCTGCACTGAGAGAAAAACAAACACCTTGTCAAACAAATCTTATTTGGGCCAACAAAATCGCTAGTTGAAAATTGCCAAAAAAGAATTTGTTTGGTTCGAATTTGAAAGTCTCAAACATGAATAATTGTTCTGCTTTCGACAGCAACGAAATATTTGGCTCAAGAGGCGAATAATTCGTCACCCCAGACGGTGCCTTTTCAGGATGAAAATATCTCATACAGAGGACAATTTATGAACTAATATTAAATCCCTAAGTTACAAGATTGCTATCATATCATTATTATTGTCTCATTTAAGGGTTCATGTCTTGTCTGTGATTATTAGACAGCCGAAACGAAAAACTAGTATCCCTTGTTTCGCACAAAACAAAGATTTTTCGGGAGCAAAATACCTATGGGAGTATCGAATAACGAAGGAGTAGTGCTAGAAATGACATTTCTTACGTCTACAGAGAATGCAATTTTTTTTCAACTACTAAATCTATTTTTGCGACAAAAATTTTTCATTCCGGCGCACTCTCTGCATGTGTGGCACGAAAAATCTTTTTTTGATAATTTTCAAAAAACTATTTTCTTGGCACAAGTAAGACTTGTTTGAGAACTTTGTCGTTTTTCTCTCAGCGTAAGATAACACCAAAGGCTCGCAGACGCGCGCGCGTAGCGCGCAGCGATTTCTAATAATCTAAAAAATCCTATTTCATGTGCATTAAAATAGTCAAATGAAGTGGAAAAGACATGTTTATTTTATAACTTTTTAATAGTGCCCTTGGAAAAATGATGAAATGTGTTAAACGTTTCAACGAACGGTTTCCAATATTTTCCCATTATTGTCGCAGACAATGAGCCTCTTCCCGCCGTGGATAACTCTGAAATGTTCTCCCAATGAAGTGTTCTCCCGTCACTCTTGAACGGGAAAATACAAGACTGAAAAACGTTATCTTACCCACGTTCACACGAAACGCCTTCACTTATCTGTCCGAAAATGCTGTTCTCGACGGTATTCACCTCTCGACTGAATCATCACCTCTCGCCTCCGTCCCGAACCCGCGTTTTGTACAAGGAATACGTATAATCATTCTCTAATTGAGTCGTTGGAACCGCTAGGCTCATCGGGGAAGAGGGACACCTATCGTTTTATTCTCCCTTTTGATGGATTAACGACTAAAAGAATACCCCGAAATTATAAACGTTGATTCCAACTATTTAAGCGGCGGGCTATTTAGAACTCTCAAAAGTATGTGGAAAAAGTGAAAATTGAAAAAGTTTTTTTTTACACTGAGCCAAAGTGGCAGATCTTGGATTTTTCCAGGGGGAAAGTCGACTTTCGCCAAAATCGAATTTTTTAGCCGGGTGAACGTTGATTCCAACAATTTAAGCGACGGGCTATTCAGAACTCTCAAAAAGATGTAGAAAAAGTGAAAACTGAAAAAGTTTTTTTTTTCAGATTTTCAAAGGGTCACATTTTCGGTTTTTCCAGGGGGAAAGTCGATTTTCACCAAAATCGAACTTTTTAGCCGGGTAAACGTTGATTCCAACTATTTAAGCGACGGGCTAGTCAGAACT